GGGGGCGCAAAACTAAGGACTTTCCCTTGAGATACCAGGCTCGTATTACAGACACTCCTCCCCATACCATATTTACCTGAATATTTTCCCCTCTCACATATCATTCCCACAATTGGGAAAGAAAAAAAAAAAAATCCTGTTCAGCAAGTCTCACATCTCCTCTGGCTGTGTTTCCCCACCTGGCTTTGAAATTGTAATTTTACTACCTGCATTTGGATCCCTGAGAATAATGCAAAGTGTCCTCACTAGGGGGCGAGGGGCAGGGTTCAAGCTAGGCTGAGCTGGTGGCTGGGGGCAGGCTGGAGCTGTGACAGAGGAACTAAGAAGTAGTCCTGGGTCCTGGATTCATGGTGAGTGTGCTGGGCTCTAAAGCATCCACACCTCAGGCCCCTGACCAGTGCAGGAAGGGACGGAAGGGCGGTATATTTAAGCTATACTGTGGCACTGCAGCAGGACACAGGGCCTCACCCACTGGGACAGAGGTACTGCAGCTTAAATCTGAAATTTCAAAGCAAAGGAAATTAGGAATGTAATTATCACCTTTCCATCGCTTACAGATCAGTTCATTTATGGAAGGAAAACAGGACAGAGGAACTTTGGAATGAAAACAGGTCTGACTTTTGGCCAGTTGTATTGGCTAAGCAATGCTGGGCAAATAAAACTTCTTAACTTCTTCTTGACAGACTTTGAGATCCTTTTTACCCCTGTATGGCATTTTGTTAGAATTTTTCCTTCTTAGAACCACATGCCTCTAGCCATGCAGGAAAGCTTAGGAAAGCATGTGTGGAAAAAGTAACAGCAACTGCTTATGCAGCCGTCACTATATTTGAGGCAGTTCGCCAATTCTCTCTTAATTTCTCAAAACGGTGCTTTGAATTATTATTTCAGTTTTACATACTAAGAACTAGAGGCTTAGAAATATTTAGTGCTCACATTCACATGACTAGAATGCTCTGGTAGTTTTCTCACATCACACTCCCTCAGCTCCATTTCTTCTCCTGACATACCGAATTCCTCTCTTGCACAATGGCACCTCTCTTTGGAAGACCCTCGGCCACCATTCTTTACTGTCTAACCCGAGAGATCTACAGTTTTAGAAAACACTACTGCAAGGCTTCAATTATGTCAACGTATCAACGGAAGGAAAAAAAAAAGATAGATTCAGACTTTGCTGTTCTTTGGTGGTTATTTTGATCATTTCCTCTACTTGCCTAATGGATGTTTAGTTTTATCACTCATTCTCTTGGCTTTCTGCTCACAGCATACAGCATTTCTCTCCATTTACTGATATTGACATTTATCTGTCCTTGGATTTTGAAGCTGGAGTCAATTTGTTTCAAACACATGCATCTTGCCCACTTTCTGCTGATAGCTTCGTCTCTGCCTTATGGACTTAGGAGATGTCACTCAAAATAAGTTACCTTTTTTCTTATTTCATATCAGGCTTGATCGTGGGCTGTGGTTAGTTCTCAGAAGTGAGCAGCTGTTCTCCATTTTATCAGAGAACCTCTCAGACTCACTCATAATAAAAACAGAGAAAATCTCCACAAAACTCAAATGTTCTGTCCTACCCAACCTGCAGATGCTCCAATACTGATGAAGTAAAAACAACCATAATGGCACTTTGTGTTTCTTTATGTTCTGCATCTGAAAACAGGCACAGAAAACAACAACCAAAGTCGTACCGCAGGCAGCCTGTAGCTCTTTCCTTCCTAGCAGCCCAGAGACCTTCCTAACCCTGACACGTCTGCAGCAAGATGTCTGGGAAAGAACTCCTGCGCTGTATTCCCAGATTCCCCGTTTTCTCCTTACATGCTGTTAAGTCACAGACTCAGACACTCAATTTCCCCATCATTTCCCCTATTTCTCAGGGTGGAGGTAAGGAAGAAATGAAG